TTTAAAAAAATATGTTCCTTCTTTATGGGAATGTGAACAGATAAAATCATAATCAAATATGTTGAACGATTAGAGGATAACAAGGTCAGAGCGAAATACGTTCAAGTGAAGTCCTTTATTATTAAACATTCATTACAAGAATACAAAAATACAAATGATGGATGCTCTAAGAAATACAATTAAAAGTAAGCTAATCTCCCGGTTGATCACTGAGTAAGCCTCACGCCGCCTTCCTAAATGCATCGCTGCAATGGTGGGATCGCCGAGTAAGAGGGTGTATTGGCATCACCATCTTCCTAAATGCATCGCTGCAATGGCGAGCAAAGAGACTGAGAAGCACTCTCCACAAACAAGCTGAGAAGCACTCTCAGCAAGCAAAGTGGCCCACAAGCAGCCCAAAAATTGCCTTCTTTCATCGACTCCTTGTAAAGGACAAAGAGACGATGGGAAGAATTTTGATGGTAAAAACTTCGCTGCTGACCAGAAAATATTTCCTATTCCTCCCACACCAAAGGTGACATCAAGGTAAATAGTGAAATAGACGTACTAAACAATCCATTTTTCGGATCGGATTGATTGTCAGAGTGCCAAGCAATGGCAGCAAATTGATTTCGAAGAAGAAAATGAAAATGAAGATGGAAAATGGAAGATGCGAAACATTTATAGAGGGGTGGAGATGAAGAGACAGAATATGAACAGTCACATTTCTGCCTAGTAAATGGAATTAAATAGCCCAAAGTCTTAGGAAAAGTGGTGGAAATATCAAAAGCAAATGGGCAAGGTTTTGGCACGGAGCAGTTAAATGCTTGAAGAATTGACGACTCTAAAAATAAACGTCAAATACATGTACAAGAAGTTAATGTTCATTAATGATGAACAAAGTGACAAAGGGAAAATCAAATTACAAAAGAAAAAAAAGACATCATATGTCTTAATTACAGTCTACCCCATACTGAACGAATCAGTTCCCTAAGTTTTTCCCAATCCTCATTCTGCCGAGAGGAAGTGATGTTCAATTCGGCAGCGACATCATCATCAACTTCCAATTTCTTGTACTGCTCGACCAATGACTTAGTTCGCTCAATTCCCTGGGAGGCGTTGCGCTTTTTAGCAGCCATTCTCGCCCTACAGTCGTCCATTTGGGCTTGAAGTTCTTTCATCTGAGCAGCCAAATTAACCATCAAAGAGTCTTCAACCATGACTTCGGAAGAGATTTCTTTCAACTTGTCCTTAGCCTTGTTAATCTCCATGCGCAAAGACTCTTTCTCAGTTACGGCTCGAAGATACTGAGTACTTTTGGCCTTTAGTGCGGTATTCTTGGCCAGCAAAGAAAGGATCTCGGAGTGGACAACCTTCAATGTCGCTTTAAAATCGGCAGAAAGATTGAGCGACGGAAGCATCAGTGATTGATCCAACTTCGCATTCAAATGCTCAAGTTTATCCTTGTGTCTGGCAGCACTGGCCCTTCCAATGTCCATATTCATGAAGGACACATACTCAAATATCAACTCTTTGAGGAACTTCAAATCTTCCTCTGAAGAAGCAGCAGGACGATCAGAGGGAGCAGTGCGAGATGTCTGGACTTGCCCCCAGGAAGCGAACAAGTCTTGGATAGAACGCACAATTTTGTCAGCATCCTGCAAAGAAAATTGCCAATATTAAAGATCCTCACTACGATGAACAAGATAGAAATAGAAGTGAAGCAAAGACTACCTCATCAACAATCGTAGAAGATGGCACGCCCTCAGCCAAGCTTGCCACCAACGACTCCTCCATTCGTGAGGACTTCCCCTTGTCTGAGCGAGAAGATGTTGCCACAACGAGAGGACTCATAGGAGTATCTGCAAAACTCAAGAGCAACAAATCAGAAACCAACAGCACAAGCAAAGGTAAGACATCAAAAGACTGAATTACCTTCTGCTTCAGTGTTTGGGGGGGTTGACGCCCTGGTAAGAAGGTGGTTCATCCATGGGTTGTGATGAGGACTTCGGCACTGAAGATATCTCTTTAAGTGTAGCCCCCTCATCAACCGGTTTGGATGAAGTAGCCTCAGCAGAGGATGATGGAGCAGGAGCTGTCGATGCCAAAGCCTTTGAAGGAGAGGCTGAGCTTTTCTGAGAAGTCCAAAAGATCATCAGCACACAGAAAAGTTTCAAGTGTGGAAAGGTATACTTGTGAGTAAACCAATTTAATTACCTTCCTCCTAACGATAAGAGGGGCATCATCATCATCGTCATCATCATCCTCCAGAATGGGAGATGCTGAGGCTGGCCATTTGCGGCTTGGGGCACTCTTGGCCGTAGTAGGCTTGGCAGGGAGAGAAGAAGAAGGATGAGCAGGCTGTTTAGTGCGACGAGAAGGAGAAGGACTCTGAATGGACAAGGGAGTGACTAAAACAGGATGAGAGGAAGAAATGCTCGGTTGGTCTAATGAATGAAAGACACGATTGGCGTCAGTCGCAAATAATCTGCGCTTCACTGACGGTCAGAGCTGCTCAAAAAGAGGGTGAATGGCGTGGTTAGAATTGAAGGGGGCTAAAGAAAAATGGCTGGTTAAAAGAAGATTACGAGCATTTATAGCCTCTGCCTCCGCCTTATTAATAGTATAAAAACGGTCAACTAAGTTCTTTGAATAGCAAGGAGGAACAGGCCAAGTCTGGTCGAAACCAAGCTAACGAGCAAAAAATTGGGGAGCATAAATTTCTACCCCCGCCTTGGCATTGGTCCCAGTTAGAATATCATGAAATAGCTTCCTCCCGATTAAAAACTGGATCCAAATGAGCAGGGAGGTGCTCGCGCTATCTATAGTGGAAGGGGGATGTACATAGTTTGGAGTCAAAAAAGGAGGAAAAGGAAAAAAGCAAGGGATTGAATCCAAAGAATAAAAGAATGAAAAAATATCCCTTCTGGACATATTTACAGGAGCCAAGGGCTCCATGGCTAGCCCATAACAGCTAGCAGAGGAGCGAGAGATTGATGGAGCCCCAAGCAATGGAAAATAGGATCTCAACCACAGTTGAGTGAACCAAAGAGGTCCACTGCCAGTGGGAGATGCACCATTCTTCAATTGAGCTTGGAGAGAGGCCATGCCTCTATAAAGGGCAGCCAAAAATAAAGAACATAAATTCAAAGACCTGCCACGCGCCAATTCGTGCGCTATAGGTAAATAACTCAGGGAGGGCTTTATGCTTGGCACACACAAAACATATTTACAGAGCCAAACTAGAAGGAAGGCCACTCGCTCAGTATGGGAAGGCTCAGCACTCGAATAATTGTGAAGGGTTTGCAGGCTTGAATAAGAATCGGTGTAATTTTTGCCAAACTTTGGGGCACCACCAGAAACTAAGATATCAGGAAAAATGGTATCGCCCAAAGGTGATAGATTCACCAGGGCCCCAACATTTCTTAAGGTAATAGACATGGGGCCAAGAGGGAAAATAAATGTGTTATACTCAGGAGACCAAAAACTCAAAGCAATCGAAAAGAGTGCTGAATCAAAAGTAGGGGGCGAATAGAGATTTCTAACAAATCAGAAATCCTAGCGCTATCAAAAAGTGCCTTAGTAGGACCATGACCCACAAGGCGAGCATGCCACCTACGAAAAGCTACATCAGATTTAGGCCAAGTGCGAATACCTCTTTCGCGAAGTGGCCCTAACGGCAAAGAGTTTAGAAAAGGAGGGCCATGAGTGCAAGGAAACAGCTGACCCACCGCCGCCTGTTCAACTGCCTCTGCATTGTTGAAGAAAGGACCCAAGTAGAACTCATTACGTTCAACGTCGGCGGGGGCGAGAAAACTCGGAGTTATGTATGGACGACTCAGGAGTTTCTGAAAGTCATCGAAACTAAAGGAGTCACCAGCTTGAGATTGTGAAGTAGCCATTTGAGATGGAACGAAGTTTTTCAGGGTTACGTAGCAGGAAAGCAAATGATGAACAGTAAATCGTGAGAGAGACGCGAAAAATTTGAGGCGTGATTTAGTGGTGCAGTGAAATGGCGTGTTTGGGGATTATAAGGGTTTGCAAAACGACGCACCTTTTCAATATATAGAAGAAAACAATGATTGAAATTCTTGGAAATTTCGAATGTTGCTGGAAACACAAAGTGAATATGGCAAAATTTAATAATTATTATTAATTCTTCCATATTGGGGGGTAATTGTTGACACGTAAAAATTCAGCTCAAATCGAACGGCCCAAGGAGTGAAGCCCAATTGGAGGATCCCCAAATCAGATAGTCCAAAGAACGAAGCCCAATCAAACAAATCAAGATGAAGGCCCAAATAGGGAGGCCCAAGAACGCGGTAACGCCATCGCCCAAGTTTGCAAGTCGCCCAGAATCTGAGCGAATGGAGTGTCATACAGTCGCCCAGCTGTTACTCTATTCTCGCCCAAACCTTCAAGTCGCCCAAGGTCTTAACAAATATAAAGCGTTGTGGTTATCAAGACGTGCCATTATCAAAGCAGTTATTGAAGCAGCCCTATCACGTTCCACGATTCAAGGAATTCAATCGAAAGCGGTTGAACGACGAAGGGTAATGGCAGCAGTTAAAAAGGCAGTTTTCATGGCAAGTTCGCCATTATGAGGAAAGTGGGCAGTTGTAGGACGATCAAGCGATTTTTAGACGGTTGATCACAAAGAGATCGTCTGTGAAGTATAAAAGGGAGAAAGGACATAGAAGCAAAGGACCGAATAAAAAACTCTCGAACAGAGAACATGTAATTTTCATTTCCTTAGCTTAGACTTAAACACTTTTCTTTCTGTAACTCGTGTGCTTGCGCCCCTTGGAGGCACGTTGTTTTTAATTTCCAATTGTAAAGTCATCGCCAATAAAAGAACATCCATTTTTGGGACTTTGTCTCAAGAGGTTTGTCCTTTACACAATCGTCTTATCCTTTTTAATTGTTAGCGACTAACCCGCGCGAAACAATATCTAATCATAGTCAATCCCTTCTCTTCTTGGTTTGGTGGCAGTCCCTTAATTTTATTTATTTATTTTCAGTTTGGTGGTGAAGGAGAAAACAATTGCTTCAACAACAAAATTGCCTTAATAATTTCCCTCTCCATCGTCCTCTCTGCCCTGTCTGGCGAGGCCTACAAGTTCTCGAAAGCCACCCCGCCACCAGAGGCTGCTGCTCAAGCCCCGTCCCCGTCCCCTTCTCCTTTTTCCTTCACCTATACCACTTACAAGAACTCGCCAACACCCGCACCCGCACCCGCATACACACCAACTAATGCACCCACCGAGGTTGAGGCCGATGCTGATGCAGACGATACTGCATTCTACGTTGTCCCCACAGCTGAACTTGAAGGAGACGTCCCGAAGGACAAAGAGGCCGAAGACTCCAAGTCCCTGGACTTAGATGTACCAAAGGACGAACAGGTCAAGGACGCAAAGTTCCTGGAATCCAACATGAAAGCCACAGTTAACAAGATCGAGAAATTCATCTCAACCGTCGTGGAGAAACGCCTGGAAGATCCTAAAATCGAAGAATCCGACAAGCAATGCCTGGAACAATGCCAGGGAGTTTACGAAAACGCCATCGAGGCCATGCAGAAGAGCCTGGAAGATGTCTCCTCGGGTGACTTCTTCAAGGCCAATGTGGATGTCAGTGCATTCACCACAAATATTGATACTTGCGATGAATGCTTCAGCGAAATGATCGAGCCAGAATTCCAGAAGTTCAACGACTGGGCCAGGGGCGTTGCCAGTAACTGCCTGGACAAGATTGTTGAGTACTCAAACACAAATTATGTATAAACAGTGAACTGCACATATATACTGAAAAATTAGAGTTCTTGATCATAATAATGAGCTTTCTACGTATTATAATCAACACTATAGTTACTGTTTTGTAACTGTAAATTGTGTCGGGGTGAAAATATTTCGAATTCTACTCGGTCACCTGCATAAAATCTTGTAATCGATTTGGCTCCATTCAACCGGTAAAAAATTTGAAGCTCATGAGTGACGACAAGCTCATGTTAAAATTATGACTTTGCTTAGATAAATTTACAAGTTACTTATAACCTGCTTATAATGCAAAAAAGTAGTGGATCTCACGAAATATACTGATAATAAGTGGGTCGTATTTATGAATATATAGTAAATTTGATTGAAATTATTAGTTGCTAATAAGTTTACCTAAACATCTCCTAGATATTAGGATGCATATATTAGGCTATTAGTACAAATTGTTAATAAATATTCCAGCCACTTTTTATCTCAACCTTGGACTTATAAGTATTGTCCACTTATCACCACGAACAACTGGGGCAAATTGGAAATTTGCAAAAATAGGGTAATTCAATGTACTTGAGGAGTGTGATGAGTACATTAAGTCCAAGTATGGCCTCCATCTTTCTTGAAATTATTAATTTTTTTTTCAAAATTCATTTTTAACTACATATTTCAAGGGATCTACAACATTTCTCAACTTTTTGACCATACATTTCATCAATTTTTATCAAAATCTGATAGAAATCAAAACCAAACATGGACTAAAATATGATTCATTTCAATTCGTGTACATACTCATCAAGCTGTTGAGTTTGTCAATTACATAGTGCATTGTTACCTCTAGTAAAAAAATTTCAACAAATAAATTACTGTTTGTGATTTTTAAGTGGAAGAAACATTTAGTTAAACTTGCTTAATTAAGATCTCAAAAATCAAAAGGTTTATCACATTATCAGAACTTGCTGCAAACATGATTTTAAATCATGTGAATAACTATCTTAAGAATTACACTTAAGCTAATCTAGACCAAGTAGTATATTACAACCTCTCTTAGGGGCAAAGAGTTTGAATATTTATTCCAGTGATCTTGTTTTCATTCCCATTTTCTGGCTTCATGCTCAGTTTAGATGGGATAGCTCATGAATTTCCGATTTCCAAGTTTCGTGTTTTTGCCGCCATGGCCTAAGCCCCTGATTGGAGCTTCATCCTTCGTAGAGATAAGTACGCCAAGAGTCTGTAGCCAACAACCATGGCTGCCAACACAGCTACTTCCATGTGACCGTCATCTATTTTGATTCCATTGATAGAGTCACCTATGTGTTCATATTGTACTTTCAGAAGAAGTTTGTAGGTGTGATAGTTAAACGAGAGGTGGCGAAGCCATGATATGAATACTGGAACTTTCTGCACCACAAAACGCCCCAAATTGTTATGTCTGAGAAGTAAATATTTGCAGACTTAAGCTACCAACATAAAAAAAATTTAACTAAAAATTGCATGCTTACCTTGACAAAGTACCCTCCAGCCAACATGAAGGTCATTACTGTGACAGAGGCTAGAGTTGTTGCCCTTTTCAAATCCATTAGGGTAGCACCAATAGCTAGCCCAAGTCCCTGTTGTTTCACACAAATTCTTAATAAATCTTTGGGTGAGAATTCTTTATTTGCATCACTAGTTTGGTCTTGTAAAAGGAGAAAGGGGATACCTGAGCAGCTATAATACAGAGAAAAACTGTTAGCATGGTGAGGAAAAAGGAACCAGCGTCCGTTCTTAAGCCTGCCATGAAATATACAACTGCGAGAAATACAACTGGCAGTAGAAGGTCAAGTGGAAGGTCACTTGTGGTTCTTGCCACAAAATAGGCGCTTAATCTATACATGTCAGCTGCTCGTTCCTTGCTCAGCATGGCTCTTTCTTGGGGAAAAGTGAAGATTGCTGTGAAAACAGGAAAGAATCCCCAGAAAACAGCAATGAAGAACAGCAGCCCTGCCTGCAATGTAAATTTCTCAGTTTGTTATATCATTATCCGTCAGTGAAGACAGCAATACCAATAGCTCATACTCTGCTTTTTCTTCTTCTATAATTATTGAATCATTATCCCTTTAGTTATTTTTATAAACTATCCCATCTTGCCTCAAGGTTCCAGAGATTCTTGTTTCGTTGGACAACGTACAGTCCATTCTACGTACCGAATAGGCTATTATGGGTAACAAAGAAGAGAACCACAGATTTTAAAGATCAACTTATGCTGTTACAAGGATAGCTTTACCTGATCTTTAAGTTCGGTGGAGCTGTTACCACCAGATTGCCACCATAGCAATCCAAGAATAGTTGCGGTTGCTATAACTTGAGTAATTCTCAACCAGCTAAAATAATCATGTCTCCGTTCTCTGAGTCCTCTCCTGACTAATATGGAATACTGATCACACCAATTAGTTCCCCACTCTCTTTTCGCAGAACATAATTTGGACTTGATTTTCTCATCAATGGGTATAGGATCCATAAGTTTCTTCTTCTCACTTTCAGAAACTCTTGTCTCATAGGCCTCCACAAGATACTGCTTCGGTATAAAACATAATTAAGAGGGAGTTTTTAAGCATTCTCCCTTTTCGTTTTGAAAGGAAAGAAGCGGACTACTAATATAAGAAAGATACTTGTAATTCCATCCCAGAAATTATAATCTCACCTCATGCACCACTGCTGGAGCAGGCTTTCCGCCTTTCATCTCTGTTTCTGAATTCTCCATTTGCACTTTATCTTCCAATTCCGATGGGACGGAAATATCATTGACATTTCCGTTTGCAAGGTCAAGCATGAATTCTGCAGGGTTCATTGCAATGAGCGGAGTACATCCTATGGATGAAAAGTACACCATTGCTTCTGATGCCTGTCCAAAATAAAGCAAGCTTCCTTTTCCAAGAAGAATCAACTTGTTAAACTTGAGGAAGAGTCTGCTCGATGGCTGGTGGATTGTGGTGACCACTGTTTTTCCAGCCTGCCATAAGATTACTACAATGAGAGTCGAGGCATTTCTAGGCTATTTTCATGTGTATTCGACTTTTTTTTTTTTTTTTTGTTTTTTCGTTTTTTTTTTTTTTTTTGTTTTTTCGTTTTTTTTTTTTTTTTTGTTTTTTCGTTTTTTTTTTTTTTTTTGTTTTTTCGTTTTTTTTTTTTTTTTTGTTTTTTCGTTTTTTTTTTTTTTTTTGTTTTTTCGTTTTTTTTTTTTTTTTTACGTCTTCATGGTACTGATTCGAGTAAATTGGAAGAGAATTTCTGTTTTAAATGCATATACCTCAGCTATATCATGTAAAGTATCAATAATCCTCAAAGCAGTTGTAGAATCCAACCCGGAGGTTGGTTCATCGAGAAACAAGAGAGACGGGTTGATTATTATCTCATTTCCGATGCTTACACGCTTCCTCTCTCCACCTGAAACTCCCCGAACAAAGGAACCACCAATCATGGTGTCTTGGCACCTGTAATCATAGATCACCACTCACTTATGCTGGTTACGTCGAATTTTTTTGAATTTTAGTGGCAATTCATGAACACATAAAACAAGATCAAATTCTTCAACAGGTCATTGGATGTTTTATAACAGTCAAAATGAATGCAAAATCTAGAAATGTTTACCTCTCTAATCCTAGCTCGTATATAACATCCAAAGCTCTTTTCTTCTTTTCCTCTTTTGTCAATGTCCTTGGAAGACGTAAAAGAGCTGCATATGTTAATGTTTCTTTCACCGTTAGGTGAGGAAATAGAACGTCGTCTTGAGTCACGAACCCAATCCTGCCAGGCATTGCACGTCAAATATGTACATTGGACAGCATTTCTAATTTGTAGAACGATATATTATTTGGAAAAGTCTACATGTATATAATTATTGCATATAATGTTGTCCATAATGTGATGTGGCAATGATCCGGTCGTTAATGTGAAAGTGTGAGATTTGAATTAAAGGTTGGATCCAGTGCCACATATAATTATGGATACCATTATGTAGACAATTATGTACATGTAGCAATTTCCATATTATTTAGTCGTCTCAAGGAATGAGGTATGGTTTAGGGTGTTACCGGCTTTTTAGGAGCTTCGAGTAAGGTTGGTCATTATAAGTAACTGAACCACCTGGTGTGGGCTCTCTTACTCTCCCTCCAAGTAGACTCAGGAGGGTAGTCTTTCCACTTCCTGATGGTCCCATCAGTGCCAAAACTTCCCCTGGATCAACCGAACCAGTAATTCCATTCAGAATATCCTTTTCCACTGTGGATGTTACTCCTTTTAGAACCACCTTGTATGTCACACTGGTGAACTGAACAATTTAGAAGGAAAAACATTTAGAGTTGACAATATATTCATGTAGCATATCAGGTCGCATTAGATACAACTATTGTTTTATCTTTCATTTTCTAATCATACGTGTTCCATATCATATCTTGGTCTCGTAGACCATAGTTGAATTATATAATGTGGAGACCAAAATTTTGCCTTATTCAATGTTTTTTTGTTGGTTTAAGGAAAGTCTTGTACACAAATGCCATGTAAAATGAAATTATGTACAAGACTGAACCTGACATGATAACCATTTTAGCTTTGATGTCTAGAAAAACTCCATCATCCCCTGTCCAAATAGACTGTAATTAATCAATTTAGTCTCATGTATGGAACATGGATTTGAGACCAGGTTTATGCTTTCGTCATTGAATTAAGAAAGAAAGATATTTGTAGTGAATGAAGCTACATTACCTTGAGGTAGATTGGTATGGTAGGTTCAGTTTGAATTTTCTTCTTATGCATGCCAGCCTCAAGATCTTCAGCTGTAGTTATAATTTTTAGCATAATGTATTATACAATACACAAAATACAAATAAAAAAGAACTTTTGTAATCTTAGTGTAAGTTTTGCTTGAGATTAGCATAGATTCCGATTATGTGAAAGTAAGAATTTGAATCGAAATTCAAAACATTTCGGGGCACGACAATGCTTCCTTCATGTGACCGTCAATTACCAATTTTACTTGTGTGCCTTGTAGTTGTCTCACCGAAGATTATTTAATTAATTGAGGGTCCCATTTCTTATTCAACCAAAAAGAAAAAAAAAGTTCGATTGAGAAATGGAATCAGATATGAGCTTGTTTGGTGTAGATTTTAAGTCAATTAAAATTAATTTTTTTATCGTTATTTCACTATTTCAAAACCGTCATTTTTGAATTCTTCTCTCACGTGTAGGACCTACTTTAATTTCTAACGATAAAAAAATCAATTATCAAAATCACTACCAAACAAGCACTATATATCAAACGTAAACTTATGGTACGATTTTTTACTCTTGTGCCACCTAGTACGATAGGATTATGTTACTATTGGGATCCATATGTTACTATTGCCTTCAATACCATGGTCCATGGAGCCCATATGTTGTCTATTGGCGGTTATATATTAGCCAATTGTGGATAAGTAAAGCCTAGTGCTCATTTCTACAGAAAAAGGGACCAACTGTTACCTAATTTCCTTCAATCAACAATTATTGTGACCAAACATTGAGGACAAGTGTCCGTTACAAATTGTTACTTTCCCTCTAAATGGTTGGATTACTGCCACTTGTATTAGTTGACATGGTGATACGTCTGAGTGGGATGTTCTTCACATGGAACTCTACTTTTTTCCATGTGTATATGCTCCATTAATTGATCGTGGAACCCTTCATCATCAATCAAATACCAAGTAGCAAAAAGACACCACTCTCGAGTATTACTATGTATTATGCTTTTAAATCACGTTATCTAAATGTTTGCATAAAATTTCACCGTCCCTGATGTACAGGTTGATCTTTTCCCATTAAAAACTAGTTGCAGAATTTTTGTAAATGGGCAACTATGTGTTTGAAAAAACGACAACGATACAATCCGATACTGTATTGAAACACATCATCTAAACGTTGATATGGTTGACATAGTTTTTTCTAGTCTATAATTATAAGTTTCATGTGACCCGTCCCGTCAGGTTCATGAATGAATTAGCTAGGGCCTGAGGTTGGCAGTTAGATTGATGGATGAACGAATTAGAATCAATAAAAGTTTGCTTTTCTTGAATAGTATAGCCTCATATTTGAATTTTGTTTTGTAGAGCTAAAGAGGTGCTGCTGCTTACCCTCAGATCAGAACATGGCAATGAGTGAGGGTGGGGTGGGTTATTGCTTCTGATGACGTGAGATGACAGAAACACCCTCCTAATTATTAACTTCAGAAAATATGAATCAGTAAAGCTATGGGATGTTAGGTCTTTTGAGGCTGGAATTTAATGCATGTATTGACCAGATGGAAAGTTGATAAAGTTCTCGAAATTAAGGATTTATAATATAGAAAATAAGTAACTTAAAATTATTAAGTGAACTTACGAATTTCGTCATCACTAAATGGTCTCGAATCCGCGATATCATCTGGTGGCATGGTGAAGCCGGTGAAGGAGAAAGACAACCCTAAGCTGGCACTAGAAGCTCTGCTCAAGGCGGCGCCGCTACTGAGATCATCAAGATCCAATTTCATCTGAGCACTTCTCGACTTCCGAATGTGGGTGTTCCTGCCGATGCTTCGCCCTGGAGAGGCAGCCGCCAGCCGCCTGCTGGACTTCCTCGACAGGTTGGAACTGCTCTCCGGTCCTCCACCAAAGCCCGCCTCGCTCGATGACGACATCGGAGACTTCATCACAGCCAGTGCTGCAGCCATTGTCTCCACCAGCTGATCGGATTTTGTTCGTATTATACTAGTTGCCGAATTCTGTTTCTCCATCGTCGAAGTATTGGGAGGGAACACTATTATTAGCTCTTTACATCTTTAAAATGTAAAACTCATATTTATAAGGGAGAAGGGCATACTTAAATTACAAAATTACCCCTGAACTTTATTTTGAAAATAGCATAATGCAAAATTCTACAAAAAAAATACTTGACTGTAATAAACTCAAAGATTAGGTCCATGTTTGGTTCAATTACAAAAGTTGATTAAAATTTAAGCTAAAATTAATTAATTTTAACCATATATTTCACGACCTCACAACTTTTTAATTATATATTTCATCTACGTTTATCAATTTGATTTTTATCTAAACCAAACAAGACTAGAATAAATTTCATAATAACAAATTTTAATCATATCCAATTTTGAATTTGATGTATTGGCACATAGCTCCCTCACAATGTTACATGCAAAACATCCCTCACTAATTTTTGAAATCAATAATCGTGAAAGCTTCTGTTTAAATTTGTTCGGTGTACAATTCTTCGTACAATGAAATTTGTGATCGGAATTAAGCAAAAATTTCGAAACATCCTTATCACGATATACGTGTGTTAGGAAATTTCTCCATGTTTTGTGGAATTATATCAAGTCCCGTCGTCAATATTGTTAGGCCATGAGTCTCTATAATAAAACTTTTATTATTAATGATTTTTTAACTTTATTAGGTGGTTACAATGCAGCTAAGCTTATCTACAAGACATGGGACATGGGACATGGCAGATGGAGGAACAATTTGAGGCCATTGTTTGATCTTAGGTTACCTCTTGTCTAGGGCAGCAAGTTTGGAAATTTGCCATATCCAGTGTTTAGCTTACATTATTTTCTTTTCTTTTTTCTATTTTATTTCTAGATATGTATTTATATTCGGTCATCATGACGTGGTGATGATCACGTCGTCATTCACAATTTTTGGTTAGAGACGATTTTCATTTCCCTCAAACGTTTTTATTTATTTGTTTTGTAAAATTTGATAAAGATACGGAGTTCACCCCAGAAGATAGTAGTACGAAAGAAAGTGTGGAGAGGATTGAAGTTTCAGGAAAAGAGGCTAGCACTATTGAGGCTCGAGTATAAAAAGGAAATGAAGATTGTTCCGCTACACATGTAATACAATTAACTTTAGATTCACTCGTGGCATCCGGACTTTCAAGGGATTGGAAAAATGTTATATATGTATATTTAATACTATTAAATAATAAATGGATGACAAATTAGGATTTTTTTTAAGGAATATTTTTATTTATAAATAAATTACTTGCTACTAATTAATTAGAGTAATGCCATTAGCATCACTGATTTTAAAGTAACGATCTATGTGATGTTAGTATGAGATATAATTAAATAAATAACTTAATTCTATCGTTCATTGACTCTATCACTTAGAGTGATTTAGACTGGTATTGTAGCATCACTGAAGCTAAATAGCTTTATTCAGCCCTTGTTTGGTTAAAATAAAAATTTTATTAAATTTTGATAAAAGATGATGAAATGTTTGATGGAAACGTTCTGAGTTATATGAAATATTTGATTAAAATTAATTGCTGATTTTAATTTAAATTAATCAATTCGTAGCTCAATTAAGTAAGTATTAAAATTGATTACAGTTTATTGCAATCAATAAGGAGCGGAGAGAGGAGGTGGAGAGTTTGTTGATTTGGGTCCAACAGGGGCGGTGCCGCCCAAAGGCACGTGATAAGGACGGTGGTGGGACAGTGATCAGTGGTGGCGATCGGCGCTGGACACAACTCGATGACTCACCGCAGTCTCACCATACACGTGGTACCAATTGAATCTATTACTTGCTCTATTGCTTCCACGTGGATTTCAGTCCACAAAACCCTGATGATTAGACCACACTTAACCAAACAATTTTTAGCTTTTTTTGAAAGTTATATTCTGCTTTTTTTTCCAATTTCACGTGGACACTTTTTATCTTTTAGCAGCACATTGCAATTTTTCAATGTTCTATTGAAATGTTTAGTGCAAATAATTCAAAAAGCTCACGTCTCTATTCTTTAGTACATGTTTCGTTCTGATCTTTCATTACAAAAAATTAATTTTTTGACCGTTACTTCTTTAAATCGTCCGTTATTTTTTATTTCTTCTCTCACAAGTGAGTGAGACTCACTTTTCTTTCTAATTGTTAAAAAATTAATTTTCATAATCACTACCGAACAAGTCCTTAATCTTGTTAAGTTCGATTATATCCAATCTATCGTTTGATATCTGTTAAGAAAGTTTTCAAATACAACAAATTGCAGCTCAGAAATAAAGTGAAATACGACGTCGATGGAACTTTTAGCCTTTTTTCTGCTGTCTTCCTTGCAAGAAGTTTGAAAAAAATTTGATGAAACAAAAGATTTTTGGTTTTGTTAATATGTTTTTTTCGAAAAGTTTAGAGAAAAAGGTCTACTAAGTTGGTAGCATCTTGAAAAACAGCACCAAAATTACAACTTTTAGAGGTCACTATTTTGTAATACTTTTCCAAGCCTTTCCAAAATTAAACAAGTATTATATATTCGAGAGCTCGAGTTAACTAATGAAAACTTAAGAATTTAATCTCGATTCACAACATTCACGGGATGATGATATGATTAAGATTTTGAATTGAGATCTACTATTCAAAAATTGACTGTTCAATTTTCTGTCTACCAAACTCCAAGATTTTAGATCAAAAGGGTTCAACTCTGAGGCAAAGTGTCCTAGCTTGATTAGAAAAAACGAACCCTGCCTACACCATAGAAGATGTTGAAGACAAGATTTCAATGATATACACGTGGTCCTATTTAAAAACTTAAACTTTCTAATCAAGTCGTTCAACACAACAAAATGTCAAAATAGTTACTGTATCAATGTATATCATTGGAATGGACTCTCAAAAATGCGATCTTCCGAAGAATGAAGGCCTCAATTGAAGCAAAAATGCGAGAATTTTCAATTAAAACAAATCGAATCGTCAAAAGCCCAAGAATTTGTAGTCAGAACAAACAATAAGTTTTAGGGACTTGACTCAAAAATGAAAATTAAAATGGAGGAGAAAAGATTACAAATAGAATGTCAAATCTGTTACCAATTATTTTTGGGTCCCAACCAAAATGGAAATTATAGTCAGAACTGCTCTTCAAACAACAAAATTTTAATCAACGAAAAGTGTATCCTCTAACTGTAGTGATGGTGAATTTTCTACTTCTTGTTTGTTCATCTTTTGCTGCATCTTTTTCTCCTCAGCTTTAATTGTCAACTGGTCGATGGTTCCAGGGAGAGATGCCTTGATGGCATTCTTAAATTTGTCGAGCAATTTCACCCGATCTCTTGTTCCAGACACATGAGTGCAACCATCAGGGGGGAATAAAATAAAATAAAATAAAAAGTTTTATTAATATTACCCTGTTTGAACTTCCTTCGTTTTGTGAAGTGGAGATAGTCTTCTTGTTACTTAGCTTATAATAAGGAAGAAATAATTTTTAATTATTTATACACTAATATAATTATTAAGATAAACAAGACCCGACATGTATTTCATCTAAGGATGAGTTATAGAATTAATTTAATCCAGATATAATTTATGTAAAATCTTATATTAGATGGTTATTTCCATTTCTCGATGGGAGTAAAAAAGTATCATCTTAACGTGATAGAAGTCATCTTCACTCAGATACAAACAAATTCAAGTAGATGTACAAAACAAGTTACTTAGCTCGATCACGGCATTGAGCCCCATTTTTTCTAAATTAATCTGATTTTACTCCCGTAGCCACAAGGCACTCATTTACTCTATGTTGCACAAACAAACATCTGTGTCTAAGCATGATTTCAACAACCCAAAAATAAGAAATCTGAATCCATTTTTACAAATACAGTAAGGATTCAACCAAAATACGAAAAAAGAATCATACAAGGTGAGAAAGCTTAATGTTCCAAGACTGCCTGTACAATTGATTGAGAAATTACACATACTTTCTTATGTACATAGCAGCACTAACTAAAGTCGAGGACCTTGAGCGAAATTTTTGATAAGCCAATTTAATTTCGCATGAACGAGATTTTTCTGTTCGACCAACAAATGTGACCTATACGGACAACTGAGAGTAAGAGAACACTGCACAAAACCACCGAATTCCCAATCCCACAGCAACAAGGAATCCAGAGAAAAAATGTATACCCGAAGATAGTGTTACTAATCCAACTTAAGTGTTCAAACTATAGGATCCACAGGTTTATAAGATACGGAGTTCACAGTCGTACATTTGACAGACGTCTCCACTTCCCCACGCGAGGTCCCCGATCTAAGACCATTAGTAAGCCGGCATTGTTGGCTGGTATTCCGAACATGTATCTAAGCAATAAACAAAAATTTATTAGTAGAAGGAGAATATCTACAAATGGCTTCCAAGGAATCAACTTTCTATAACTACAGAAAAACACAACTTTTGCCCACTTTCTGAAGACCGGTTAGTATTTTTTATACATTATGCATTTAGCCCTCTTGGTTCATTTCTTCTTTCCTCTCACTACAAGAAACTGATATAACTCCAGACTTGCATATGGCCACAAAATTTCTAAATTAAGCCCTATTGACAACCACTAAAAAGAGTTTTTTTGACGAAAATGAGTTTTTGGAATAATGATTTTTTGGAGAATGTAGAACAGTGTGGTTAAAAAGTGTGAAAAAGTTTTGGATTTATATGCAAAATATTTTATTGTGAGAATGTATAGTTAAAAATGAGTTTGAGAAAAAAAGAGTGTTGTTTTAGTGGTTGTCAATGTTTCTTCATAATAAACCTACATCCATTGTTAGGAAAATCAAAACACATGTATACAAAGCTATGTTCGTTTTGTATCCGAATGTTTTGATTCTCTTGCTAATGGGGTTTATTAGTGTTTTGATCATTGATCTTTTATGTATGTTTATGGACATTGATTCGCCCGGGTATGCCCAGTGCACTTGTATTTGATTATGGACATTGTCTGGCCCAGATATGCCCGGTGTACTTGTACGTGGTACATTTTTTATCTATATATTTACATTTACCGATAAAAAAAAAAGAATAACATCCTTAATGTAGCCCCACACACATTGACGGGAGAAAAGAGTTGTGCGTATAAACAGCTAATATGTTCATGAGTAAGATTTGATGAAGATATTGTGAAAAGCTAGATGATGTTTACTTTTTCTTTTTCAGGTAATAACATTGGCAGATCTTTTATCAGAATTCAGAATCAAGTCCTAAAGAAGAACCGTAAAACAACTGTGTACTTGAATTGATTAAAAGACCAGTGGGCAGAAGCCACATGCATAAAATATGACCAAAATATAAACAGTTCAATTACATGGTAAAACGGAACAATGGACACTACGGTAATGAACCTGGTAAAATAGCATGAAGAAGTAGAGCAAACAATCTTTAAAGATACACAATTCAGCAACTAATCTGTTAGAAAGTCACTAAAGATATACTCACCTGCATTTGCGTGCTTTTCTTCTCCATAAAACAAAAGATGCAACCCACTGAACAAGAACATGAAACAAATAGTTAGCAGTTATTAAACAAACTGAATTTCGTGGTTAATTTGTTGATAGAAAAATGTAGCTAAACTCACAGAGGCGCTTTATACAACCTAACGGGCAAATAGCTTTTTTGATGTTGCGCCTTTCGAGATGAAGCCCTTTTTTTAGCCCCATTTTAAGGGAAAAAAATGTATTTTTAAATAGTGATTGATGGAGAATGTACGGTTAAAAATGAAGAAGAAGTTTTGGATTTACGTGTAATATTATTTTATTAAAGAATAATTGGTTGAAAATGAATTTTGAAAAAATAAATTTTGAGAAAAATGGGTCTCAAACAAGGGCGAAATTAGAAAATTGCAATATCACAAGAAAAGTCAAAAGAATCAAAGATGAATGCGTTGATAAGATATTAATCTGGAAGACTTCACTTTCAGTTCTATATTTAGACCAACTTCTAGGGGATTTTTTATGTCTGAACTAAGCAAAATCAAATAGTAAATAATGATTATGACACACTCTAAAACGAGTTCCAAAAGGATAAATCAGAATTAGATAGGTTAGAAACTGTTAAAAACCATGATAAAGCAAATTCAAACTATAAAATTATGATGGACCAAAGACAAAAAAGGGACCCAAGAGGAACATGAAAGAGAGAGTATAGGCCCAAGAAAAAGTCAATCATTGCCTCTCTTTTTCTGGCACCACCATCTCCCAAAGAAAGCGTACTTGCAAATAGACGCATGCACACAAAAAAGAAAGTTATTAAATGGCTCAATAGTGGCACTATTACTTAGAGTCTGTTTGAGAGTGAATTTGAGAATTGATTTTTTGACCGTTAGGTTTGAGAGTGATTTTGAGAATTGATTTTTTGATCGTTAAGAAAAAAATGGGGTCCACTTGTGAGAGAAGAAGTCAAATATAACGACTGGAAAAGTGAAATAACGGTCAAAAAATCAATTTTTTGAGGCAAAAAATCACTCCCAAACAAACTCTTAACAATGCATCAAAATTACATTGCCTGGTAGCTAAAAGAAATTACTGCCAATCAAGATATCCACAGGAAGCAGGAATCTATTCTGCATTCAGCCAAAAGTTTAGCTTTACAATCTATAGCCCCAGCACTTCACATCATAATCAAGAAGCAGAAGTCGCAACTTCCATAATAATATCAGAAGTGCGTATTTTTCACAACATACGCTTTAATAGAACTATTCAGATCTGAACCAATAAATTGAAATTGCTTATCAGAAGCCCAGATAATTATTAGCACCACTACAAAAGGTAACAGAAGCAGAGATACTAGAAATGCAGAGTGACAACAAACACATAAAAGGACAAAAAATTAACACCACGACCACCCAATTATGTCAATTTAGAAATAAATGTAGTACCCGCCATGAATTACCTTGATCATTGACGAAAATCTCCCGATTACTGATGGCTTCCGCTCAGGCATCCTTCTTGCTGGTGACATTTCTTTGCACAAATTCTGAGCAATCTCCTTCAACAACACCATCTGTCCTTTGTCAGTTCCAACAGAAACAATTGCCTGTCTCATTGATTCTCTGTCAGCTTCAAGAGCATGAAGCCTAGCGTACAGCTTCTGGACCTCCAGATCTCTGAGATCAGAATGATTTACCGACTCTCTTGGGGTCCTTAGAGAGTCATCGCCCATTCCAACAGAAGATTTAGGCTCTGTGACACCATTAAATGAAGCTCCCTGATGAATAGAATCGATTGTGTAAACTCTGTCGCTCACGTCATCTCCAACTTCTGATGCATTATTGACCCTCCTCAAATTAGAGTTCTCTTCCATCTGCGTGTATGCTGTCTTCTTAAAACTGCCACAAAACTTTGGAGAATCAGTGGAAAATTCTGCCCCGGTTTCTTTACCCTTCATAAAAAACGAATTTGAACTATCAGTTGAGAACTTCCTAAGATGCCGAGGCCGCCTTGGAGATTGACCAACTACCACCTTTTCAAACGCATTTTTAAATTCCCCTTCAGGCTGAATGGCCTTAGGAGTTCTCTCCAATTGATTGATCCGGTCCTCCAAATCCTTCAAGTGATCCCTCGACAGTGGAGTTTCACCAAATGCATATTTCTCCATGTCAGCAGGTTCATCTTTACCGTCTGGATATGTCTGGGGTTCATTCACATTGCACTTGAGAGGAGGATATATCTCGTAAGGAGGGAGTTCAGATTGCCCCTCGAGGTTTTCATTCATGGTATTGTTTTGGTTCATATCCTTCTCTCCTTCAGCCTCAGCCTCTGTGAGTCCATAACTCATCATCCTATGCTTATAGGCCCGCACCTCACAGGTTAAAGACTGAATGGTCTGCTCCCTCTTATACAACAAATTTTCCAATGCCAACATCTCCTGCTGATCATGTGCCATTTTCTCCTCCACATATCTCTTAAACTGCCTCGCCTCCATCTGAACCTCTGCCTTCTCTCTCTGCAACCTCAGTATCATTGACATGGCCTCATTGGCGGCCGAGGAGGATGCATTCCTCTCCTCCTCGAGCTCTAAAATGAGATCCTGAATGGTCTGCTGTTGGCTGCTGACTGTCTCACGCAATGCCGCACATTCATTTCCTATCTCCACACGGGCATTTTGTTGTAAAACCAGTCCTGGGATTGTGAACCGGCTTTCTTCCTCAAACTCATCATATTTTCGCTTTACAGGACGAAGATAGGTCCCGGAAAATGACCTGTTCATCATTGAACAGCTACACACACAATCACCACATTTTACCAGACTGGTTGACGGGGACGAAATCTCAGACTTCATAGCCAAAGAATGTTCAATCAAATCTCAAACACCTCAATTAAGATCCAATCCCAATAATCAATTTTCCCGCAACAAATTATAGAATTTTCTAACCAAACAAATCTCCAGACCTCCCTCAATGTATATTAATAAATTTCCCCCAGAATATGCGTAAATCTCCCCTTTTCCTCAACCCGGATAAATAGTCGATACATTCAGATCAATATATTTCCCCAACAGGCTTCCTATAAAAAAAAAGACTCAAATCCTTGCATACAAAAACACACACTCATAGAAACATATACACAATAAACATATAAGAGCGTGTGCATGTATATTTGGTTACCTTGAAGCTTGGAGGGGTGAAAACGCAGCAGAAAACCAGAGGTTAGTTTTTCGCGGGAAAATGTTTACTCGTCGCGGTGCTTTTCCGGCTGAAAAAATGCAATCTGAAGGGGAAATATAACAAAATGGAGATTGAGGAAAAGGAAAAAATTTATATATACGAATCAAAGTGGAGGGAGAGCTGGAGAGGGAATTTGAAACCCTAGATTTTTTGGATTTTGATCTTGTTTTTGTCGTTTTTATGGTTTTGTTTGATTTGCTTCGTGTTACGAGAAAATATGAGTGCTGACTTCTACAGAGAGAGAGGAGAGAGAAGAGAGGGAATCGTTTGTTAATTTTTAGAGAGAGAAGAGGAAGATGGGGGAAAATGTAGGGGTAAAATTGGAAAACAAGAAATTACCGTTTATTAGTCGGAGAATTCAACGGAAACCGCGTGGGGAAATGTGTGTTTTTCTCCGGGCAATAGCAAGAGAAAGAGTCGCAAAATGCAGGCTGCGACTGTGCCTCGGAAGATACTATTGTTAATTCCAAATATAGAAATTCGACGGTGTTTGATGGGAATTAAAATTAAATATTTAATAAAATTTTGAAAGAAATTTTTGAAATGTGTGATTAAAAGGTTGTAGGATTCATAAAAAATGTAATTAATATTGATTATTTTATTTTGACTCAAATTAAAATTTAATTAAAATCTGAGCCAAACAGAAGCAACCAATATGCAAATTAAGTAGGTAAATTTCGCTACGGGTTCCAACCTTTTCATTTGTGTCAATCGATATCCTCAAACTTTTAAAATTATGCACATGATGTCCAATCTGATGAAAACAATCTACTTAAGGACACATGTTAGGCAGGTGATACATGACTGATGGATATATTGCTCAAAAATAATTATTCATCTACTTTTATTACTATTTAGCTAAATTTTCCTTCTTTTATTTTTTATTTTTTTGTTTAATATGCGATAGGAAAGTCCTCAAAATGGAGGGATTTTTTATTTTTATTTTTTAAAATTTATATCTGCCAGTCATTTATTACATGCCTACTGCTTGCCCTTTTAACATTTAAGTAGATGACTTCTGTCCGTATACTGCAGGCACAACTTTAAAATGTTGGAATATGGGTTTGACCAAACAGAAGGTTAGGGACATGAATTGACACAAGTGAAAAGGTCGGGATCCTCTGAAAATTTATCCAACCAAGTTTTAATTTTTATGAATAAAAACAGAGTAATTATTTATCCCTTTTAAACTGTTTGTTTTTGCCAAGTGGATTATATTTGATTGATATAGAAATATCAAATTAAACTAGGACTGGACTAAAACTAGTAGATTTTGTAAAAACTTGATTCTACTGAAGTTCTAATCTGTTATGAGTATTAAAATCAAGATTCGATTCAAGAACTAAAAACCCAATTTAACCCGAACATTTATTACTATTATTTTTAAAACAATGAAGGGTGCAATGCATCATATCATTTTACGTTTTCTTCTTTTGAATTTCACCGCTATAAGTCAACTCGTATTCAATTCATTATGATGTAATTTATAAACTTAAGCATAAACAAATCCTTTAAATTTATACGTGTAATTTCCGATTAGTCAAATGCTTTAAGTTTTATTATTTTTAATTAATAAGACATTATTACTTGTGAAGAGTTTAAAGTGTAATATACAAAAGATTATTACAACTACAATGCGAAAAATGCAAACTCTCAAAGTGTAAAATTGAACCAAACGATTCAAAACTTCTTCAACACACTAGTGGAGTCTCCTATGATGTTAAGCTCAGATTTGTGCCGTATCGAATTATGTATCGTTGTCCATGGGAATGACACTGAATATACCGAGAAAAGATCCGTCGAAAGCCACCAAAAATTTCATCGAAGGTATGGAAAGCTCCCACTTGGTTACCTCTCAATGCTTTCTCTCTATTGTTACGCCAAGTCCAAAAATGAGAGAAATGAAGAAGTCTTGTAATTATAGAGTCAATTCATTTGAATTCAAAATTCAAATATAGTACTATGGTCAACTAGAAAGTGACAACACTAGTTGAATTTAATCTATAGTCTATATTATTTTATAACTAGCACAATCCACTTTACATTCTCAAGACCAATCAATTTGCATAAGGTAGAGAGTGTGATCCACCTTACAACTTGTGAGTTATATATTTTAAAAAATTATTAAATGGCCAATCTTTGTATACTTTGAAATTCTACCCCCAACCAACCAGTTCATACGCAAAATTATAATCCAGAGAGCTAAACATGGTCAATAAATAAAAAATTACAACCCTGGGCGCCATTGTTTCCCCCCATCCCAACCCTCGACATATGGCTTTTTCCGAAAAATAATATCCAATTCCATTTGTTTATATTTTTTTAAAACATTTATAAATTTACTTCTGTAATCATGGAAGCCATGCCTTTTTAAGATTCCTGCATTTTTTTTCTTTTGTTGTTTAATTAACTATAAAAACTATTTGGTTAATGGGACCAACCAACGCAAAGGAATGTTTGGATGTATTCAAATTGCTAATTTATTAATAAAATATAGTTTTCTTTAAAAAAAAAAAAAAAGTCTAAATTTGTTACAAGTTATTTAAAACTCATTTTTGAATAAATTTAATTTCAATAACACATTTTTTTCAATAAAATAATTTTGCAAGTGGCATATTACATTTTTCAAACTTTTTAACCACATAAAAAAAATGTCAAACAAACTATAAATCAAATCTTAAGATTTTTTTAATAAAAACAATAAGATTCCGTTTGATTGTAAGAATGGAATTTGGCGTGGAAAGAAAACGAATGTCAGGGAATTGAATTGCCTAAAATTTATTTTCCTGAGAATTGTCAATTAAATGAGCTAGATTGGTATAATTTTCCATCTAAAGAATGTTAAAATTTTGGATTTTTTGGTGTTCTTTTAGCTTTATTTTTTATGAAAATTGTCAATTAAAGGGATATAACTTTTTACAATAGTGGATAGAAATTGTTCCAATTGCCAAAAAATTAAAATAATAATAATAATAATAAAACATGGCTGGAAAACCAATTCCCATAGGTCTAGTAGGAATTGGTTTCCACTAAACCAAGGAAATTGCACATGTGTGGAGGGAGAGATGGAAATGGAATTGTCAATAATATTTTGCAATGAAACAAGCTAAAAAGGTGGAAAATGGAAAATATTTACCATGAAAAATTGGACAAATCAAACATGCCCTAAAGGATCTTACAAATGGGACATTTTTTATTTCTAGGAGTCGAAATTATTATAGTAAAAATTCAATTGTTGTGTAATCTCTATTTTTGTTCGAGTGTTTGCTTGATGATTTTAGTATATGAACATTATAATAAGAATTAAACTAAATGTACAAAATGATGTCCCCCTTTCATAATGCACGCAAGCCCTGTATGAATATAAAAATATTCAAATGTGGTCCCAGACCCAATTGTGAGTTGAAGGTAAAAGATTGAGTAAAAAAATTATGTTCATGTAATATTGTCCTTATAATAAAAATGAATATGATCTTATAAAGCCTGTGTGTCGTATAGGTTGGATTATTTAACTTTCTTGATAATTTTTGGTGGGGATGTGATTGTCAACCTTTTTTTTGCCACTGAAAAATGCTATTTAATTATTAAATAAGGTAGAGTGTCATACATGTTGATAGGGACTTGAAAAGTTATATGGAGTTGAGGGCAACATTATTATCTTGAGCTGTTTGCCTTTCAAAACTTTTAATATCCCACAATAATTTTTTAAAAGTTCATTGATGAATTTAATTAATTAATTTATTTTTAGAAGAAATAAAACTTCTCTTAAAGATTTTTTTTATTATTATTTTTGCAGTTTCAAGGCTGCCCTTGTGACGAAGAAACTTTCAAGATCGAAAGTACCTAATAAGATGTCAGTTTAAGATTAAGAATGATTAAAAATTTGTTTTGTTTAAGATTAAAAAAGTGAAAAACGAGAATGAAACGCTAGAGGAAGGGCTTGAACCTTCGACCTTGTGGTTAACAGCCACACGCTCTAACCAACTGAGCTACTCCAGCCGTTTTTTTTTTTTTTTTTTTTTAATTGTTAACTTCGTACATTTCTCGCTTCTCATGCCAATTCTTGACAACAGCATTCAATCAAGATTACAAAAATGTTAGATCAAATAAATTTAATTCAAAATCATTTCTATCTTTTAATCATCACTAGTCTATTGCTCATGCAATGCACAGGCTTTGTTATTTCAATGGTAATGTTTGTGTTCCAAGAAAATAGATTTATACCTCCTTTTTTGTATCTGTGTGACTGTTTACACATTTGATGCATAATATAACATTCTTTTATGTACTTTAAAAAGCTTCAATACCATCAATGACTACTGATTATTGTAATTCAACTTCGTTCTTGTTGGAATAAAAAAAAAAGGGAAAATCTTAAATTTATAAAAACAAAAATACCTCTTTGTTATACGAGTTCGATTGGATGAACGGATAAACATTTTGAACCTCCAATCATGTCCACAATGGAAGCTTCCCATTTTCAACCACGATTTTATATGATTCTCACTCTTTCTATTGGAGGAATGATAATATGTGTTCGTGAGAATGCTAGCTAATATGCTATAATTAGTTCAGTACTTTACATTATTTGAAAAAATAAATTCAAGTGCAATGTCTACTCTTGAGATTGTTGATACTCTTCAATGACTTGAAACTTGCTGGTCCTAGATATTTGATGCATTGCCATTGCAAATTGTCCTGTGAGCACTTCTCAAGATTTGATACTTTTCCATCTCCAACATCCAACCCTTTACATTAAAGAACAAATGTTGCAAGAACAAGTCAGTGAGAAATATTTTGTCCATTAAAATATCACAAAAGGAGAAAGTTTTGAATGCACTTAATAGTTATAAGTTTCTACTCTCATAATTGTTCCCCAAACATCAACCAAATAAGGTACCAATCTAAAATGGTTAATTGGGTACTCACAGGAAAAGAAATGCTATAGCCTTTGTCCTTTGAACCAGATATTGCAATAGAGATGTAAATTGTGCCAATACCTACGGTGTGGATCAATCTACAGTAAACAATGATAATTAATATCACAAACCATTTTGAAGCAAATATATCAATGGTTTAGATTTGTCTTCTATCACTAAGAGTGGGTAAAACCAATGACAAAAGCATTTTTATAAGTATATCCACTATAAAAATACTTTACACTTTAGAATGAATGGAATCTAAAATTTGGATAAAAGCAAATTCCAAATCTAAGAATCACTTAAATGGTTCAGAGGACTTACAGCTTCAAGCTAGCGCTGCATGGCAAGTTGTTGAAACTTCTCATCCTTGGACAATCTCTTTCCAACCTGCAATTGCACGATATTAATCCCTTCATAGTAGAAATTTAATAGAACAAGTAGAATAGAAAAAAATAAATAAAGCACAACTGAATAATCAAACAAAACTGATATAGGAAAAGATCGATCAACAAGTTGGAAGATTACAAGATCTGCCATCTTCATGAGACCTTCGAGACCAGAATCGTTCTTCATGTTGACTCGGTGGAAATAGATATAATCGGCACAAGAGAGCTCATCTAAGCTAAAAGGCTCTAGCATGTGCTTGATGTCATAACAAAAAGCACTGCCATACACTGTCTACAAAAAATATAAGAATTCTTGTCGATGCAATTTGTTTAGAAGCGATAAGGGAGAGACCATAATATTCCTACACTTTAAGCTGAAAATGGGTAAAAAGGGGGCAAAAAAATTCCATTCTTGACATGAAACTATCAATTCTTTCCCAAGAATCATGAAGAATATGTTCACGAATTGATAAAACAAATTTTCTTGAGATGAGTCTAAACAGTAGGAAAAATTAGATGGAAATTCTTGAGAGAGTCGTAACTCCAACTGTTCTGGGAAGCCGATTGCGAATCAAAGAACGATGCAATGATTCCATTGTTTCTTCTCCAAGAAGATCTTGACGAGGCCATGAGTCTCTTTGTAGATCCGACAAAGGGAAAGAGAAAAGGAAAGGTTAGGGCTACTTTCCATCTTGTAGCATCAGAGAGGCATGTGACAGAAGATTTCCGTATGGGAACATTTAATGTACGCCAATTTGTAACCAGTTTGTGAATGGTCGCAAACAGTCAGGTGTGAAAAGGGGAACCATAAGAATGAACGTTGAAAGCCTGATTCCCTCTTTTATTTAGTACAATGATATATCTAACTTAGATATTAATCTTCAAACTTCAAAGGATCGTCTAAATACACGCCAATATATAAGGCAATATTCTGAATCACCTTCGAAGTAAAGTAACAAGTACTCTTAAAGTACAATTGTACACAAATCAATATTCTTTTATTCTTTGAGCATACCAAATGTGATATACGCATATAAATTTTGTAATTATCATCTAAGATTTGTGATTTATCTAAGAGCGTCATGGATGTGCATGTCATTGTAAAATATCACCATATAATAAAAATCCTCTCTCTCAAGAGCTTAAATATTTATTAGTGAATTCATCTCAAAGGCATCATGGGCGTGCATCATGTCATATAGCTTTCAAAAATTTTGTGCAAGTCAACATGAACTGACAATAATTTGCGAGCAGCAATGTTTTGTAATAACGGTTAAATTTATAACAATTAAGGTAATGTATACATCCTATTTGCTATCCTGTGTCTGAAATTGCCTCGTAGTTAAGTTTTCCAATCGTCAGCATTTATAACTGCAGCTATAGCAGCTTCATCAAGAATAACCAGAATACTATTTAGTTGTTCGAAAGCACAAGAGAACCACATTTGTTATCGGTACCTAAAAATGAAAGGATCTCCATTACCTGAATATTAAGGATTTTGGCTGTTTTAGCAGCATTGAACTGATAAGAATTGGTTGTAGGGATCTGCATTCTCTCTCAAATTTTAGCATCTCCAAAGATATCTTTCTCAACTAATCTATAAACGTTCCTGGTGATTGGACCTAACATTAATTCAAAACACCACCGAGTTTAGTTTTAGTAATAGACAAACTATCACAAGAAATGTATAATTCAAATTGCGCACACTATAAAGCAAAAGAAGCTCTTTTGAGAGAAATACCCGACTTATTCCAGCGATATAAGTTTTCTCCTCAAATCTCCTTACTGTTTTTTTATGTGTTCGTGTATTCCCTCTTCTCCTGAGAAAGGAAGATGCCTCTTGAAGGTGTCAATACTATGCATTTGAAGCATCATAATATTTATACATTAACGACACAATAGGTACTAAACGCAAGAATCTGTGGTAAACTAAACTATGCGACAATAAAGCACTCTAAATTATGACCCCGTTAGATTTTTCTAGTAAATTTATTAATTGACATAACTATTAGGTGAATTCAAATACTAAGCATTTAGTGCAACTTCTAATTCTCATCCTCAATATTATGGTCAAGAATTTTAACGTTTCACATCGTGTGCTTTAAGCAATGACAATTTTCCAAAGAAGAAGTCTATTTTAAGAAAGGTAACATTATCCCCGGAAGCCATAGAAGGATGCGAGTCCATCTAATCCTAGACAAAAGCATTATCAACCTCTCATAAATAGAATTGATACTTCAATCTCTATTACAGAAAATTAGTACAAGAAAAACCTTAAAACTAAAGATCAGAAGTAGATAGCTACTTAAGCTATCAAATATATATACACATAGTTGTAAATATCAATAACCTTACGTCTTCCCAACTGATAGTCTTGCTTGGCTCACAAGACTTGACAAAAATTTATATCAAATCGTTCAAGCTCATCCTACATACAAATGATAGAGTTTGGCGGAATCATTTGCTTGCTCCATATTGGAAATACATTCAAATGCACTTTCATTAGCGGGAAGCAGCAATTATGCATAAGACAAGAAAGGAATAGAATAAATTTAGATCAAGAAGGTGACGTTGCAAATCAATTTGCATTAAATATTTTTTACATTAGGCTGAAGAAGATCAATTTTTTCTCAATCATTTTTCTTAAGACAATTGTGATGAGGACATCCCAGTCCATATTAATTATTTTAGCAGATTTAATTATTTTAGTTGGATTTAGGTTGTTTTTAATTTTATGGACTTGTGTATTGGGCTTGGCCCTAGGTTTGCAGTATTTTCTAGTATTTAAACCTATCTTACATTGTTATTTTTCAGTTGATGAATTTGATTAAATAATAAGGTTGGCTTGCAGCCGTTTTCCTCTCTTCCCCGCCTCTGTTCTTCTGCTTCTCCCTTCTCCCCCCTCCCATCTCTTTTCTTATTATTATTCACCCTACATCAAATTGGTATCAAAGTGAAACTTGGGAATTTTCACTGCAACAACCATCCCTGCATATGTTCCTGTCCACTGAAATATAGCCTCCAAAGAAAATAAACAAAATACTGCCATGAATGTGGGAAGAAACCATAACACAACCAGTCGAGCTTCATCCACGCAATAAACCCGCAATTACAATTGTCCAAACCCAAATCACCTCCTACTCTGCAACAGTACAGGCCGTTAATTTCCTCCAACCCACTTCCCTAAAATTTCACACACGACACCCAAACAAATCGAAACCAAAATCAGCCCAACCAACCTACCGTAATCTTCATCTCTGGTAACCCATTGACTAATATCAATAATCCATTCCGTTGGTACCCGTAATCCAGCACTCAACTCCCCAATTGCGACGCCCCAAACTGCAGTAGTCACCGAGAGGACCGGCAGTCTCACCACCAATGATAAACCCAAATTGCAGCCCCTCAATCCAGTCGACGGTGCCTCAGTGACCAGTCTTTCCCCTAGTAAACCGGCGCGATGCCCCACATCGTTGAAACGCTCCTTGTCGGCCAGTCCCAGAGGCTGCTTTTTCTACAGTTTTCAATGGGTTGGTTTGAGTTATGGGTTTGGGTTTGATTGGGTTATTAGTTAGTCGGGTTGGTTATTGGATATTAATTGGGTTGGGCTTAATTTCAATCGGGCTGGGTTTTTTTTTTTTTTTTTACTGTGATTTAGGCCCAAGTTTGTGAAATGGGCTCATTTTTTATTTTTTTTTTTTGATTTTTTTTTTTTTTAAAAAAAAAAAAAAAAAAAAAAAAAAAACGTCAAAAAAAAAAGAAAAGAGTAAAAAAAAAAAAAAAGAGTATCGAGAATTTTTGGGTATTTCCTGACATTCTTTTTATAGGTACATTATTTCCTCGACGAATACGGAATTTTCTATCTTGGCATCTCAGCGGTTAACAGTTCAGAAAGTGGAGGCATTCGACGCTAGGACGACTCGGGCCAACTGAACTCAGGGAATCTCTGATCCTATTCATTTTAGTGACACTGTTACTGTATTTTAGAATTGTATCAATAATTCTTTGTGTTGCTAATATTTTGATAATTTAGCCTTAAATCTATTGGATTGAAATTCACGAGCCGACCCCATTGTTCACTCCTTTACCTTTACCTCACGTGACTAGACCTAGCATTTGTACCTCTGTTTTATTTTATTTTATTGACATTAGTAGTATTAGCTTGCGATTGGGTCGTCCGTAATCCCTACAATAAAATAAAATAATAATAATAACAATAAATAAATTTCAGTCACTATTTTCTCTACTAGCACTTGTTGGTTGTTGATCTCAGTAGACACTTCACTTAGCTTGTGTTACCGTGTATGCAATTGCGTAGTGGTCGCGTTACTGCCTCTAGCTCTAGAACCGTTGCCATGGACCCTTCCCACATTGAAGCAATCACCCGACAGTTGGCACAATTACAAAACCAATTAACGGCTGTCCAAACTGAGTTAGTCGCTACGCGTGAGGAGAATAGAGCCCTAACCGCTAGGGTAAACACTCTTGAGCCAACCCAATACTCAATTGAGGCTGAAATTTCTGACGCTTCCATTAATAGACCTCATCGTCGTCCACAAGGTGGTCGACACCATGCTAGACATGATCGTAGGGAAGGAAATCAAGCTCGTGGGCACGAGCGGGAATATCACCGTCATGGTACACTGTCCCCTCCTCGCCATGAGGAGCGCCTCGAAATATTAAGTTGGATGCCCCTACATTTGATGGTTGTGTAGATCCTAGTGTATTCAATCAATGGGTTAGGGATATGGATCGCTTCTTTGCCTGATATGGGGTCCCTGAAGATCGAAGGGTACAATTTGCCAGTTTGAAATTAACTGGCACCGCTCAACTGTTTTGGGAAAGCGTTGAGGACCTCCTAAAAAGGCGTCATGCTCCCCCTGTTGGGAATTGGAATGAAATGAAGCATCGCCTTGAAGAAAAATATTTACCTCAATCTTACAGGGGCAACTTGCTGGATCAATGGAACGCAATGACACAAGGCAGTCGACCTGTGACCGAATATGTTGCTCAGTTTGACGAGTTTCGAATGAGACGTCAGGTCGTTGAGGACGAAGTCATGACTTTGAGTAGGTTTAGGCAAGGCCTACGGGATGATCTTAGACGTGAGCTTGTTCTTAGAGGTGTCACCACTCTTGACCACGCCTACTCTTTCGTTCGGGATTACGAGTTAGTGACTAGAACACCGTACAGAAGTCGTAGTGACTCCCGCACTGCAACCTCTTCTGCATCCGCTCCATCCCCTAAGTCTATTCTAGGACCTCCTCCTTCTAATCCTACCCCTACATCGGATAGTAAAGGTAGAGGTTCTGAGGTTTCAAGAACGTCCTCTCGTTTGCAATGCTTCAACTGTAAGGGTTTTGGTCACATTGCTTCTAAATGTCCTAGCCGAGCCCTAGTTTTGGAAGAGCGTGAAGGTATAGTTGATGAGCCACTAGAGGATCTGGTGTATGAGCCTAAATTAGAAGAGTTTGATGACTTGGAAGATAGTGAAGATACCTTGTTGGGTTGTATCCAGGCTAGTCCCCTTATCCCACATACACCCAGAGTCGGTGTCGTCCATTCTACTCTTACCCAGCCGAGGGATGCCGATGATTGGCGCCGTCATGCCATCTTCCACACTTACATCAAGATTAATAATAAGGGCTGTAAAGTTATAGTGGATAGTGGCAGCTGCATTAATGCGGTTTCGATGGCTACTGTATCCCGTCTAGGGTTGAAGTCTGTTCCTCACCCTCAGCCATACAGCGTCTCTTGGGTTGATACCTCCTCCATAGCTGTCAAGGAGCGTTGTTTAGTCCCTATCCAGTTTCTCGAGTATAAGGACCATATATGGTGTAACGTCATTTCAATGGACGTCGGGCACATCATCTTGGGACGACCTTGGTTATTTGACCTAGATGTCACCATCTACGGTCGATCCAATTCCTGCTCCTTTGTGTTTAATGGAAAAAAAATTCACCTTAATCCACTGCCTCCAAAGCCTGTTGGCCCACTGGAAATGAAGAAAAGTGTGGAACGAAAAGGATTGCATATCATTAGTCCTACAGAGTTTGAGCGTACACTTGTTGGTGACTCAGTTGTCTTCGATTTGGTGGTCATGGAGGTCCCATCACACTCCGCAATAGAGAGCCCTGTTGAGGTCCTATCGGTCCTCCAAGAGTTTCGAAACGTCTTTCCAGAGGATCTCCCTGATCATCTACCTCCACTGAGGGATATTCAACATGCCATAGACTTCGTTCCAGGGCATCCCTCCCAAATTTGCCTCATTATAGAATGAATCCTACCGAGCACGCTGAACTTCAAAGGCAAGTGGATGATCTCCTTCACAAGGGATTCATTCATGAGAGTTTAAGCCCGTGTGCGGTCCCCGACCTATTGACGCCCAAAAAGGATAGCTCTTGGCGAATGTGTGTGGATAGTCGCGCGATCAATAGGATCACGGTGAAATATCGTTTTCCAATTCCTAGACTTGACGATATGTTAGATATAATGGTTGGTGCCACAATCTTTTCGAAGATTGATCTGAAGAGTGGATACCATCAAATTCGAATTCGCCCAGGTGATGAGTGGAAGATCGCGTTTAAGACGAAAGATGGTCTTTATGAATGGCTAGTCATGCCTTTTGGGCTGAGCAATGCGCCAAGTACCTTTATGCGAGTAATGACACAAACTCTCCAACCTTTTATGGGCAAGTTTCTTGTTGTCTACTTTGATGATATCCTCATCTATAGTAAGACTAAGGAGCAACACCTTGACCACCTCACGCAAGTTTGCTCTACCCTTCGTGCAACTAATCTATATGCGAATGTCAAAAAGTGCTCTTTCTTCACCGACACAGTTGTTTTTCTGGGATTCATTGTCTCTTCGACAGGGGTATCCGCTGACCCTACTAAGGTTCAGGCGATTATTGACTGGCCTGAGCCTAAAGTTATCCATGACGTCAGAAGCTTTCACGGCTTAGCTACATTCTACCGTCGTAAGGGTTTAGCACTATTATGGCGCCTATTACGGAGTGCATGAAGAAAGGGGAGTTTCATTGGACACGAGAGGCGGCTAAGGCCTTTCAGTTAGTCAAGAAGCGAATGACGGAGGCCCCTGTCATGCGTCTTCCCGATTTTTTCAAAGTCTTTGAAGTTGAATGTGACGTCTCCAGGGTAGGTATAGGCGGAGTCTTAAGTCAAGATCGTCACCCTGTTGCCTATTTCAGTGAAAAGTTAAATGAGGCCAAACAGCGGTACTCAACTTATGATAAGGAACTGTATGCAGTGGTCCAGGCTTTGCGCTATTGGCGCCACTATTTGTTACCCCAGGAATTTGTCCTTTATTCCGATCACGAGACCCTCCGTTACCTCAACTCCAAAAAAGATTAAGTTCTAGGCATGGTCGTTGGGTCGAATATTTACAGGCGTATTCATTTGTTTTAAAACACAAGAAGGGCGTAGAAAACCAAACAACTGATGCGTTAAGTCGTCGTGTCTCCCTTTTGTCAATCATGAGTGTCAAGGTCATCGGTTTTGAAAGACTTAAGGAGGATTACGAGGCGTGTCCCGATTTTAAAGATATCTTCCTCGATTTACAAAGAGGACAATCAAGCGCCACAGATGGCTTTCGACTTGAGGAAGGTTATCTCTTTAGAGCCAATAAATTATGCATCCCTCGAACTTCAGTGCGAGATTTCATCGTGTGGGAAATTCATACGGGATGGTTAGCCGGTCATTTTGGACGTGATAAGACCATAGAGGAAGTTGAACGTCAATTCTATTGGCTGAGCTTGAAGAAAGATGTGGCTAAGCTTGTTAGTACTTGTAACACTTGTCAATTGAGTAAGCAGAAGAAGCAGAACACATGTCTATACACCCCTCTCCCTGTCCCTAATTGTCCTTAGCACGATGTTAGTATGGATTTTGTGTTAGGACTTCCACGCACCCCTAAGAAGCATAACTCCATTTTTGTGGTTATCGATCGCTTCTCAAAGATGGCTCATTTTATCCCCTGTAGCAAGACGTCGAATGCGTCCAAGGTTGCCCTATTATTCTTTAATGAAATTGTCAAATTGTATGGACTTCCCAAGACCATCGTGTCTAATAGGGACGTTCGTTTCACTAGCCATTTTTGGAGAACTTTGTAGCACAAGATGGGTACCAAATTGAAATTTTCTACGGCCTACCACCCTCAGACTGACGGTCAAACTGAAGTAGTTAATCGAAGTCTTGGTAACTTATTACGTTGTCTGGTCCGAGAAAACCTTCGAAATTGAGATTTGATCCTTCCTGTAGCTCAAATTGCGTACAATAGCTCTATAAATCGTTCACTAGGTATGAGTCCATTTGAAGCCGTTCATGGGTACAAACCTAGGAAACCGTTAGATCTCATCCCTATGTCCCCACAGGCTAGAGTGTCAGTATCAGCCGAAGCATTTGCACAACATCTTCGTGACTTGCATACTGAGATATATAGTAATGCAAAATATAAACTCCAAGCCGATTTACACAAACGACATATTGAGTTTAACATTGGGGATTACGTTATGGTTCGCATTAGGCCAGAGCGGCGTCTACATGGACCCGCCTCTAAATTGTAAGCTCGTAGTGCTGGTCCTTTTAAAATTTTAAAGTAGATTGGTCCAAATGCATATATTGTTGACATTCCACCACACCTTGGTTACCACTCTACTTTCAATGTTGAGGACCTTGTAGCTTATAAAGGTCATTTCATTCCCTCAGATGATCTGTCATCTCCTATTGTGGACCTTGACCCTGATTTTTTGACCCCTTCTAACCCACTACCACCTCTCACAGCACACAAAGAAAAAACTGATGCTATTTTAGATGAAGAAATTGTGTTCACTAATGATGGAGAGGTTCAGCGCTTCCTTGTTCGTTGGGTTGGTCGACCAGATTGTGACTGTGCATGGATCTCTAGGGAGACACTACAGCAATTAGACCCAGATTTGTTAGAGTTTTATCAAAGTCAGCAGGATCTTCATTGGCCCAGATCGCCTCCCATCCACCCAAGAGGAGTTGGTGAGGACACCAGGTTCAGACCGCCACTGACGCATTTCTACAGACGCCGGAAGAAGCTTGCCCAGCCACTCAGCCTATGGTTGGGAGATTGACGGATGCCTATGGTGATATAGCCACTCGACAGGGTCGAGTTTTCTCTCCCACCCCGGGAGAATTGATGAGGACATCCCAGTCCATTTTAATTATTTTAGCAGTTTTAATTATTTTAGTTGGATTTAGGTTGTTTTTAATTTTATGGACTTGTGTATTGGGCTTGGCCCTAGGTTTGCAGTATTTTCTAGTATTTAAACCTGTCTTACATTGTTATTTTTCAGTTGATGAATTTGATTAAATAATTAGGTTGGCTTGCAGCCGTTTTCCTCTCATCCCCGCCTCTGTTCTTCTGCTTCTCCCTTCCCCCCCCACCCCCACCCAGTATTTAAACCTGTCTTACATTGTTATTTTTCAGTTGATGAATTTGATTAAATAATTAGGTTGGCTTGCAGCCGTTTTCCTCTGCAAATACTATCCAACATAAACAATATCTTGAATATACAATTCTCCAACAAATGTATGAAATAATGAAAATAGTTGGACTAAAAGTTATAAATTCAAAGAAATGAGCAGGTAACATGAAAATTAAAACTGCCACTTAAATCTCACACAACAAACAAAGTTCAGCGGAAAGATATAAATTTCAAAAAATTAGCTATAAATTGGAAAACTAAAACCACCACTTACTTCTATAGACACATTAGAACAAACCCAAGTAGGTGGTGTAAAAAACATGTGGGAATAACCATCTTGACTATCTATTAGCTCAATACTCCCACTCTCCAAATCAAAACACTCTGATACCGCAATTGTTCCACACCTAATCATCTTCCCCAAAAGAACTGACCTGTAAAGAATATATAATTACCTTTACACCCATTATCCCCAAACATATCCAAAGTAGAAACTGAAAATGTACAATTATCACCTAGGAACAAGTACATATCACCCAAATTAGTCACTTTGACCCATTTTTCATATTTTCATCCGACCTAAAAACTTTGAACTTCACTGTCCTCTAACTCATATAACAATCAAATTCTACATAAAACTCAAAATCCTCGATGTATTCCAAATCATCCTCAAGACCAGCAGTCAAATACTTATCGATTAACAACATATTATTTTGATTATCTCATTTTTCTATTTGTCCATTTTAGAATTTCAAAAAAATACTCAAAAGTAAGTAATACTTAAATATAGATTATAAATACACGTCATATATGGCAAAACCATCACGTAAACTTCAATTGTCTTTGAAATTTTAGATTATACACACATGAACTAAGCAACAAAAATTCAAGAAACCAACATACACAATTCATTAGTTGCCTTTGAACCTTAGTGATAGCAAGCTTTGCACTGCTCCACATCCATGATTGTTGCAGAAAGAATATGGCTGTAAAGGGAAGCAATCCTTTTGGCCTCTGCCAGTACAGCTGAGATATAAAAGTGAATAAAGTTTGAGAAAAGAGAATCGTACCTATAAAAGCACCACCCTCCATTGTATGCATCGGAAAGCAGTCCATTGCGCATCGCTAGTAGTACCGCCACCCTCCATTTTGCACTTTGAAGAGTTGGAACATGGAAGTGACTACGGAAAAATGGTAAGAACATGAAAATATCTACAAAAGAGCAAGAAATTAAACGAAGAATACACAACAAGAATATCAAAGCAACAAACTTTAACTATTTCGAGATTGATTCATCAAAAGATCGAACGAAAAATTAAAAAAAAGTGCAAATTCAACAATAGAAGTGAAGAAATCGTAACAAATATAATTGATACTTCATCTTAAATTAGTTGGTAACCAAAAAATTGTAAAAAATACAGCTTCTAGAAATCGAGAGTTGCTCTTGAAAAGAAAGGTAAAGTAAAGACAAAGGAAAAGGTAAAGGATAGGAGTAATTTATGGGAACTGAATAATGAACAGTGCAAAGTGGATAGGTGTGAACACAAGGGTACACAAATGAATAGTAAATGCAACATCCTCTCTTTTAACAGAGCAGTGATTTTAAAAAATGATGCCTAGGCGCGAAGCGAGTGCAAAATATCTCGCCTCACAATTTTTTTTTTCAAACCTTTTTTACACTTTTTTAATTATTAAATTATTTTTAGATTGATTTAAAAATATAAAATAATATTAAAATAAGAAAACTTTTTTTTTTTATGCCCAACAGAAACATAGCCTCTACGTTTCACCACTCTTTACGTTTTAGAAAGATGCTTTTAATAAATTTTCTCTTTATTTTTGTGCTTGTTGACAATTATTTTGTTGGTCTAAATTTCATCATTAATTTGCATTTGCAATATAATAACAGAAGAATTGTAAGAAAGCAAAAAATAATATGGCAAATTTTTGTGCCTGTCTGGTAGAAATTATCAGTCCAGGAAAATCGATTTTCAGGTCAAATCATGTGGTCCCACAATCTGACGACATCTTGCATGGTTGTGTAAAACATTACTAACTGGACAACTCTACCCTTCTTCATCTCCACAAGAATGAATTCACCGATCACGTGTAGATGGGAAAGGACGAAAAAATGTGTAAATGCATGTTGCTTGGTCTGTACATTTGTCAGACACTTTTCATTAAACAATTCACCAACGATCTTAATTCAAAGGAAGAATTTCATGCATTTCTCTATCCTCAATTGAAGACCAATTTGACCAAATACCCACTCTTGCAACCTTTATTTCTCACGTGGTCCCACCAACAACACATTGCAAAGTTTAGAAATAAGTGAAAATTACACCACATGTCAAAATCTTGATTTTTAGTTACACAAATGTCATCCTTTTTCTGACATTACAAATATGGTAATTCATGAAAATTTTGGACTAATTTACCCCTCTGTATAAATTTAATACCTTACAGGTTTTGCGTTAATTGTAGATTTGACTAGACAGAATTGTGTCAGGGAGGAGGTGTGAGGAGAAGAAAAACAAAGAAAAAAAAGCAAGATGAAGGAAGAGAAAGCCAAATGTCGAAGCGCCTCTCACGGAAATCACCGACCCTCTCTCTGCAATCGCCGACCTCACTCCCAGCCTTGGACAACGATCGTCAACGTCGAAATCACTCCCATTGTCAGTCGAACCGCCCGAAGCTGAGCACAACGTCGAAGGCTGTCTTCTCCCTTGCGACTGCCAGAGAAACCGAACAAAGGCGAAGGTAAATCCACCCATTTTCTGACTTCCCACTTTTTTCATAGGCATCTACCCATCCACCCATCTTTTGTATAGTGCATTTTGAGAACCGGGAAATTTTGCAGTTTTACACTTTTGCAATATGTAAAATGAGATGTAGGGTTTAAGATGGCCGTCCATTGATTGTTTATTCTGAATGGTTATTTCTGATTTTTTGTTATTGAGTTTAACACGTATGTTTTCCCTTCCCTGTGAAGCATTGTGTTCGATATTTGTTGAATAGTGGGTGTGACTCTTTGTTGAATAGTGAGTGCGATACTTTATTGAACATATTTTTTGTTCTTATTGAAGCTAGATATATATTTTGTTATATGATAATATTAATGTTGAACAAATAATTGAACAAGGATTCCATAAAATTTTGTGATTTCTTAACGTGTGTTCATGTGTGCAATAATGAGTTCAGTTGTATGGATGCATACTATAATAAGAAGCTATAATTTCTATATTGTGTAAGTGGAGAATTTGAAGTGGCGTTTGCAAAGGGGGTTTTGATGGATTCTTAATTCTCATTGAAGGAATAAAATGTTGCTTACTTTGGTTTACTTTGAAGTGATTGGTTTTGTTGAGTTTGAGGTGCAGTTTTGAGTTTGTCCAGCCCAGTCTTGTTTTATAACAATTTGAAATTGTGTTTTGGTTTTGCTGTAATTTTATATTTATGACTTTTATGAGTTATGATTTATGTTCTCATTTAATTGGCAATTTGGCATTCAAATAAGAATTGTGAATCTGTGATTTCGAATACATAATTTATGTTGTTGAAGAAGGTGAAGCTCAAAGCCATATCGTTTATGTTTTCTTAGTTATGTTGAAATTTTGAGTTCTATAATGTTTCAATATTTTACTTTTTACTAAAATCAAGATTAGTTAGATGACCTATTCATCTTGTGTTTGATGAATTGATTTAAAATCATGTATTACCTGAGTGTTGTATTGTACATGAAATTATTTGGAGTCTGGCGACGTTTCGTGATTTGCTTCTAGTATTTGTGAATTAGGTTGGATGATGGAATGATATTAGTTTTGTGAAAAAGTGCTTGCATTCGTTTATGTCTTTTCCTTTTTTTTTTTTTTGTTAGTTGCTTTATTTCTGAACAGTTTGTTTTGTGATGGCTATAAAATCTAGTATTCTATATATGAATGGATAGCTTTTGATGACCCACATAGTTATCTTAGAGAGATTTTACGTAATAGGAAGTGATTTAGCAATGATTTAGAAGTTCAATGCCTCCCACTGAACTATCGTTCCCGACAGTACGGTTGTAGTCAGTTTTTCTCGACAGTTGAGTGTATCCATGCATTAGTGTGTTTCATTAAACTGCTATTTATGATACAATATCTTGAAGTTTATCCAGTAACCCCAGTGAGTTTTATTAATGCATCTTGCAGGACACAGGACTGATAGAGTTTGATTATTGTATTCCAGAGGAGGCAAGGTTGCGGGCCCACATTTTGCAGAGGAGCAACTTGAAGTATGTGAAGACAGTGATGGACCTTTTCGATGACCGACAGCGCGACGAGTTTCGAAACTCCCCCTTCGGGTATCTGGCCGAGGTTGCAGAGATTCAATTCTCTGCCCAGCTCATCCAGCAGCTCGTGTTCAGAACCATTCGTACTGACAAGGTTAATGAGCTCTGGTTCAATGTGCAAGGCAACATGATGAGATTCGGTTTACAGGAATACACCCTTGTGACGAGGTTAAGATGCGGTGTATTTTCGGAGGGTGATGAGTTCGATCGAGTGCTAGAGAGGAGAAAGCTGAAGGAGAGGTACTTCAAATCCATGGAGAAGATATCGTTGGCACAACTCCAAACTACTATTGCCCGACCTTCGACGACCCGAGCCGATCGCTACAAGCTAGGGCTCGTGCTAATAGTCGAAGGAGTTTTCAATGCCCCTGATAATAACATCGGAATTGATTTGCGTACACTATCTATTGTCAACAAACTAGATATCTTTTTTGCCTACCCTTGGGGTAGAGTCGGCTATCGGCATTTGCTGCACGAATTCCGGGATTTCTGGGCAAAGAAATTCCTGAAGGCGAAGATGAGGCAAGAGAAGGAGGTTACATACACTATTCATGGCTTTCCCAGTGCCATGTAGGTACACAAGTTTTAAATAGTAGCATATCATGATTTATTTGTTTGCCGTCATGTAGCATCGTGCGTACCATCTCAGTTATTTTATTTCTGTTTGTTTTGATGGAACGGGTTTGGGCGTACGAGGCAGTTCCCGAGATTGGGGAACGTTTTGGTCAGAGAGTTGGGGAACGAATGCCACGATTGCTTAGGTGGTCTGCACGAAAACAACCATAGCATCGTACGTACGATGTATTCTTCAAGAACGTGCGGGTATGGATACCACATGTGTTACTTTTGTTATTCACGTTTCGTGTCATTCCTGAAGCTTTTCGTTTCTAATGTATAATCGTACATTGCAGTTGCATGTCTATGCCACACTTCGTCCCACCGATGCTGAGGCGGAACAATAGTATTTCTCCACTCTCGTGCCATACGATGATCCTCCGGTGCCTGTGCTGGATGAGATTGCCAGGAATGTTGTGGGGC